TCCCTGCCTTCATGATGATAATTAGTCCTATTTTTGAAGGACCAGAAATTATTGCCAAACAATTAGATACATCTCTAGGAAACTCCATTGCCTCTACATACCTTTTTGGAAGAAGAGAAAAGTAATCTGTTTCCATTTAGAGTTTAGTTTGAAATTCTTCACTTTACATTGCCTCTAAAATTAATTGAATTGAACATGAAAAGTTGTGCAAATCAAGATAATGAAATGGAAGGAGAGGGTCTTATACACAGCAAACAAAAAGTCTGAAAGCAGTAACTCACAGCTATGTGCCTGAACTGTTAATACCCCATTGCCTTCTTCAGTGTAATCTTGTATTTTTGTCCTTCCAGAACATCTAAACCAAAATTTGGGATGATATTAAAGCAATAAATTCTTCTGAGTTTTATTTATTTTTAAAAATTAAATTTATTCATTTTATTCTATGTATGAATGTTTTGTCGCAACATATCTGTACACCACATGCATTCTTCATTCTTGTGGAAGTCAGAAGAGGGAACTGAAACCCTTGGGAATGGAGTTACAGATAGCTGTGAACCACATGTAAATGCCAACAATTGAACTCAAGTCCTTTTCAAGAGCAACAAGTGCTCTTAACTGTTAAGCCACCTATCCAGTCCCCTCTTCAGTATTTTAACACATGCGCCCTCGGGTGCATACACACACACACACACACACACACACACACACACACACTCACACAAGTATACATGTATGCATGTATGTATGCATGCATGTATTATGTGTGTATGATGCAACGATGTATTAGTCCACTCCTGCTGCTATAATGAAGTGACACAGACCAGGTAAACGCTGAATAATAGAGTTCAGCTTTCACACAATTGGAACTGATCATAAAGTGAGGATAAATGCCAAGATCAAGATAGCAACTGATTTGGGGTGACTAAGTGTTTGTTTCATTGATAATACTTCCTCTTTACAAACTTATTTAGCAGAAAAAGTGATGCCATTACTCTGTCATCATAGGATACATGAAATAACAGGGAAAAATAAGGCAGCTCTCTGAACTTTCTACCATGGTACTACTTCCATTCATAAGAAGGCAGTTGTGGCTTAATTATCCCCCTCCCCCAGTGTCCCTATCTCTTTATGCTGCCACCTTGCAAATTAATTTATAATTATTTAACTGAGAAGTGATAATACATATAATTCTATGTAAGCTTTCCAAGATTGTGACAAATTATATTTCAGTTTTCAACTAGCTGTTAGTCTAGTATCTGACAAAGCATGTACTCATGTATTTCATCAGTTAATAATTCTGGTTTTGTTACTGGAAGAGGTGGAATTTTGAACTCCCAATCACTCATGATTTATGTTAATTGAAACTCAATCTTTGTAGCACTAGGAATAAGTGAGAATATCATAAATGCATCTGTCTCTATGCATGGAAGTGGAAAAACCACATCAATACACAAACTTATGCTTCATCATTATCCATGTGGACCAACAGAGCAAATAATCTTCATCATAAGAGATTTACTTCCTAGTGGCACAAAAAGTGATAAAGAAAAATTTGTATAAAACATTATCCAATAGAAATGGCAAGATACATATAGCTTATGGAGTTAGAAGTAATTAAATTTCATTTTCTTCAGTGAGTGTTTCCAATGCAGAGGGATAAGAGTACATCTATAGACTTCATAATATATAGTACTTAGCATATTACTTAATCTCTTTTGACTAGTGTCTTACATGAACTGCTTTGGTTATTTTGAAACAGTAATTTTAAAGTAATAAAGTGTTATGAAGCTTATTGCTTTCATAATTACAAATAAATTATAATAAAAATTATATTAAATAATGTTGCCTTTAGATTTACTAAATCCTTTTCATAATATGGGTTTTTGGTAGTCAGTGTACCAATATGTACATTTAGCTTCTCATAAATCCTATGGGTTAACACTTCTATGATGTAAGTTAACATTAAGTCCAGTTGATTATTTTGATTCTGGGTCAAGAGAGAAGTCCTAACTCGATTCCACAACAATCCAATATTTCATTCTTATATTAATGTGCCTTCATCTGATCCCTTGCTTTTACCATCAAAATCCTTTGACCAGGATCTTGTAGGCATAGAGATAGTTTGCTGTCTCTGTGCATAGAACTAGGAAATCTTTCTTATCAACTTCTGAATTCTGAAGTTAAGCCTGATATGAAAAAGTAGGTTAGTTGGTTCATCAACATTTCTTTTTGCTATCTCATATTTTCTCTTCCTACATAAATCCTGTACTTTATCCACTCTTTGACCTTACACATGAACACTTAAATTATGAAACTGTCAATGGTATGCTGTACCATATAGTTTTATATCAGCTTGACACAAATCTGAGAGAAAGGAAACCTCAATTAAGAAAATTCCTCCTTGAGATTAGACTGTAGGAGTTTTTCTTAATTAGTTAGGGAGGGCCCAAACTATTGTGGGTGGTACCGTACCAGGGCTGCTGGTCCTGTATTCTATGAGAAAACAGGTTGAGCAAGCCATGAGGAGCAAGCCAGTAAGAAGCACTCCTCCATGACTGTGTATCAGTTCTTGCCTTCAATTTTCTGTCCTGCTTTAGTTCTATCCTCACTGCTTTTGATGATGACTTGTTATATGGAACTGTCAGTGAAAAAACCCTTTTCCCCTCAAGTTACTTTTGGTCCTGGCATTTCATCAGAGCAATAATAATCCTAACTAAGACATATGCATACTACATCTGCATTTTCTACCTAATTTTAAAGGAGTAATTCAGTACCTATAGCAGTTAGATGAAGTCATCAAAGTTGACTTATCCATTTGATGTCTAAGTGAAATCTGTCTTAAGAAATAAAATGCTCTCTTGTGTGACTTTATCTTTCAGGGTTATTTCTTGCATAATTATTTTGCACATGCCTCATGTGATGCAATGCTTTAATAATTAATAAAACTCCAAAAGCTTGCCTCTTTACATCACATTATCATTTCTGATTCTTCCTGTATTAGTGTATAATAAGCTACCCCAAAATGCCATTCTGAAATAGCCATTACTTCTTGTACATGTAATTACTCGATTGGTTGCTCAGAAACTAAACACAGGAAAAGTATCTGAGCACCATATCTGCTTTGTTATTAAGCTTATATTTCACTCTAAATTTAATGTCAAGGTATTAGCTTTTAGCATCAGAAATATAAAATTTTATTTTATGTTTTAAAACATCAGTCTGACTGACCTGGTGGAAAAGAAATAGAAATTGATTTAAATTAGGGTGATATCTTTAGGTAGAGCCATGAAGATGTATCACAAATTCTTTTGTGTTTGTATATGCTTGTGTGTGTGTGTGTGTGTGTATGTGTGTGTGTGTGTGTGTGTACATATGTATATGAGTGTTCTTGTGTGTGGAATCTCAAAAAGGAACTTCAGTATCATTCCTCAGAGAGTGATATCCACTTTATTATTTATTTTTAGATAAAGTCTTTCCCTGCCCTGGAACTTGCTGAATAGGCTAGAATGGCTGGCCTGTGAGCATCAGGGATCTCCTGTCTCAACCTCTGAAGCACTGGAATTCTAAACATTTGCTACTAAGTACCAAGTTTTTCCCATAGTATTAGGGACCAAACTTAGGTCTTCATAATATGTGGCAAGCATCTGTTGGACTAAACCATCCTCCCAGACCATAAATACTTTTGGAATAGAAGTTTGAAGCTCAGGGAATAGATCAGGGTGAGAAATAAATTTTACTTTTGTGCTTGTGATAAATACTGAAGGAAATGAGGGATGAAGGCTCTATTTTGGCCTGAGTTTCAGAGTTTTAAGTCCCTGACTTCTTGATTTCATCATTTCTTGGTTGTGCATGGTGGGAAGCAAAGTGAGTCACCTCATGACAGAGAGCAGACAAAGCAGACCTGCTGCTGGGCTTCCTCCTTATTATACATTTGTTTCATCTGGGCCCATCTACCTCTTTCAGTTTTTGTCCCCAGTGATAATCATCTCTGTAAACACACATAAGGCACATCTAGAAGCATGCCTTCCTAATTTCCTTGGCTTATCCAAATCCAATTTAGCTGACAATTAAAAGTAAGTAACATTATAAAATGCAGGAGAAACCACTAAATATTTGGATTTACCCTAGAAATTCTGACATCAGAAGAATAAACTTTGGAGAAGAGAACAAAAATGGCAAATGTTATCTCATGGCTATCAAGGGAGTATAATAGGAAATGGGGGGTTATCAAGTGCAGCAATTCTGTGAACGGGCTAAGGGGACACAGAAGTGGCTATGAGAGGTATCATCACTGAGGCTACTGGGCACATAGCAAAGAAAGATTTCATTAGTTTAGATGAAAGGCAAGATTTGGAATTAGGAAAGTGCATCCTCTATGCTATAATTTTAATCAACATTTTCAAGACTTTTCTGATTGAAGGAACAAAAAACAGTAAAAAGAAACCATAATGGTATAGAATCGGGAGAAGATTGCTTTGTTGGTTGTTTTGTTCTTACCTAGTGGAAACGGTACAATACAGAGAGAAAACTGATATTGAAGGAAGAGCAGGTGGATCCAGGTCCATAGTCTTCCAGAGTAGAATACAGAGAAGAATGGCAGAAACCTCAGTAAAAAAGAACAGGGGGAGGATTGAAAGAGTAGGGGCATGTCATTCTCCTCACAAGAAATAAAATGATTATTGTAGGTTTGCAGATTCACCACGGAGCTCCCAATTTTCATTTACTTTCCTTCCATGTAGAAGGAATGGTAACAGGTAAAATGGAAGTGTCTTGTCTTGGTATAAAAATAACAAAACAGTTGACTCTAAAACAAAGCAGCAAGTTGAGCCTGCTTTCAAATTTGAATGCTAGATTTTCTTTTAACTGCTCCATGTACATAATTTCAAATGTTTTGAGAATTCTCTTTCCAACAGATGCTTGGAGGATCCATGTCCTTCTTGTGGGGTTTAGGGGGCTGGAATATACATCAAATACTCAGATGCCCTTTTTGTATTTATCCAAAATGTAGGGGCCTGGGTTTCATCCTCCCACACTGGGGCAGCAGACAGTGAGCTGAGGTTCCTGTGGCCCAGGGCAGCGAATCTCACATTCAGCCATAGCCAAAGCTTGAGATGGTTTTCAATGAAGGACTAGCCCTTTATTTTTTGACCCATCAGTATTTATAGCAAATCTGAAGCATAGCCAGGAGATGGTGCATTAAAGTTAGGCTGAGGTTTAAAATAAAAGTGATTGACATTTATGTTTCCCTGAAACAATGTGTGTGGAGAAATTGAACAGAGAATCTATTTCTATTCATAGACATAAAAGATATAAAGACATGTCACAACAAAAGCAGGCTAGATTAATAGCATCTATATTGTTTTCTTGGAACTATAGAAAATCTGATTTGAAATGACAAACCTGAACATCATTGTTGAAATGTGATCGTTATATCTTATTGCAACATATTTTAAAGGATAGTCCCACCTTGATATGAAAATCTCAGACTGAAGTATAGTAAATACACTGCCTGTATTCTTGACCTGTTCCAATTTAAGTTAAAATTGGAGTGTGGAGTTTGGCATGTCCTCTATTGTGTTGAGAATTCCCTTGGACCTTTAAAAGTGAGTGCATATGAAGAGAGTCTACAAACACCACTCTAAATAAATAAACCAAATATTTTAGCTTTCTGTAATATATCACCTTTGGTTTGGTGAACTGGTGTTATGAATCTGCTTGTTGTTTATCAATAACATAAAGTTTTTGTGTACAATTTAAATGTGTCAATGATTGCTTTTGTATTACACTTGATTTACTGCTTTCTTATACACATCCTGCTGGGAGGTAGACCAAGGCAAGGCTTCCTCAGAGGCCCTGAGAAAAGGACAAAAAGAACATAGTTCCGTCTCCTTGCTCTGTAGCACACTTGTCAAGCCCAGTATGGGGCTGAAGCTGGGACCTTGAAGAAGTTAATGTGTTGTTCCTGGGAATTTGGCTTTTACCCCTGAGGAGACTAGAGTTATCAGTCCTAAGAGCACTATGTGCTCAGTCTATAATGCTCTTGAGACTCCCTGTGTTCCTTTTGTGCAACACTGCTTGATTAGCATCCTGCTGATTTTCTCTCATTGTACGATAGATGCTGCTTACACTGACCCATTTCTCCATGAAAGTAGGATATAAAGGGCTGGAATATTAGTAAATTTGAGAGGCATAAGACAGCTTATACAAGACCTCCCAGTACCAAACTTCCTTATCTTCTCTCTTTTTTATCTTTATCTCCTGATCGCCTGATCCCCATTTTTTTTCGGTTTTTTAGATGTAAAGTTTAATTTTATTTACTTATTTATGCAATGTCCTGGGATAAATATGCATATATAGTGCATAATAAAGTAGGATATGTTAATATGACATTTCAATTTTTTTCTTTTTTTCTTAGCAAGAAAATTATTTTACATGTCAATCCCAGGTCCCTCTCCCTCCCCTCCTCCCCTGTCCCCCCAACTAACACTCTACCCATCCCATACCATACTTTCTGCTCCCCAGGAAGGGTGAGGCCTTCCATAGGGGTCTTCAAATCTGTCATACTCTTTGCAATAGGGCCTAGGCCAACCCCCTGTGTCTAGGCTCAGGGAGAATCCCTCAATGTGGGATGGACTCCTAAAGTCCATTCCTATTGTAGTGATAAGCACTGATCCACTATAAGAGGCCCCATAGATTTCCAAGGTCCCCTCACTGACACCTAGGGACCCCTATGCTCATCTGTCTTCCTTCTTGGAAACTGGATTTCAGTTCAGATTCAAGGTTATCTCTGGGTATCTGCTTTTAATTCCACCAGCTGCTGGATGAAGGCTATAAGATGGCATATGAATTAGTCATCAGTCTCTTTATCAGGAGAGGGTATTTAAGGTAGCCTCTCCTCTGTTGCTTAGATTGTTAGTAGGTGTCATCTTTATAGCTCTCCAGACATTTCCCCATTTCCTGATTTCTCTTTAAACCTATGTCTCCCTGTATTACACTATGTCTTATCTTGCTCTCTTCTGTTCTTCCCCCAACTCAACCTCCCTGCCCCATCACATCTTCCTCACCCCTCCTCTTCTCCCCCTTATCATTCTCCTAGTTCCTTCCCCCCTCTCCCATGCTCCCAATTTTCTCAGGAGATATTGTCCCTTTCCCCTTCTCCA